CCTTGCTGTCTATGGGAGGGTCAGAGAGCTCTCGGATTTCATCAAAATATCTTAATCTGTGTTCCGAAGATGAACGAAGGTCTTACAGGTTTGGAACGACATGAGGGTGAGTGATTAGTGACAGCATTTTCATTTTGGGGTGAACTATCCCTTTAAGTATATTCTAAGTTTATGTTAAAGTGTACTTATTTTTAATTATTTTTAACAGAACCACTGTCAAGGTCAAAAATAAATAGAAAGCACGGTATAATACTCCATACAACATACAGTATGTCTGCTATATTCCAGATCTTCTGAAGCCAAACAAAGCGTTGTGTGATCAAGCAGAGCGAACAAAGTTTAAGCTGAGAATGAATCACTAGACGATTCAATTGAAACTAATCAGCTTCACGCTTGCAATGGCTTTCAACGGAAGAGAAGATTCTCAGTGAATAACGACTTACAGAATTCAGTCTGTTCTTCACAAAAAGCATCATATGATTTGCACACGAATGGCATGGACTTTTTTGGGGGAACTTGACAGGTGATAAATGAAAGAGAGCTGCGTGATGATTCTTCAAAATTCTTCTTTTGCATTCCACAGAAAGAAATGCTAGCATAAGGGTTTGGGAGAATACGAAATCAAACTGAGAACCACGAACAAACCCTGCTCCAGATGTCTGGAGTGAATCCTCAGTGAAGAGTTTCTCCATACGGAGATGTGCACACACTTGTTGAGCTGCAGTGATGTGACATTAATAACGCACCGCCTCTAACATCTCTCGTCATCTCTCTGCCTGATAACACTCACTCGCTCTCAGTGTTTAGAAGTGTTTATGAAACCGGTATATGTGTAGTCATCTGCTCCACTCGCTGACGTCTGGCAGAGGAACCTAAAGAGCTGCGCAGATGATGACGAATGTGTAGTGGTAGAGTCAAGGGTTAAGTCCGGGCTGGGTAAAGGTTACTCAAGCTCTTTGATTAGGCTTACATCAGAACCAGGGCTGGGTTCTGACTTTGGCTTGATGTTTCAGGGATGTGGGTTTGGGTTAGTAAGGACTTGGTTATGGGCTGGTTAAGAAACTGGTTTAAGGTGGGTGATCATCAGAGCCCAGCGGTTTAAAAGAAATGTGATCGGATTTGGTCAAATGTTTAAAATGGGACTGTTTAGAGATTCCCAAACCAAATTAGATCATGTAGCCCAGTGCTATTTTTACCATTAGAGTTTTTACTAGTATTACTTTGGATTCATTATAGATTTTATTTATAGTATTTTTTATTTTTTTTATTTAGGCAACAAGGTGAAATAAAGTTTGCAATTTCTTTTCTTTTATTGTAATGTAATAAATGTAATGTAATATACCTGATTCAGTCTTGTTTTGATCTAGTATGTGTTGTTCAAAACAATTACTGGGTCACATATAGTAGAAAAAAAAATAAGATTGTGTCCCCAAACAGCTGTCAGTATCATAAAAAATAGTGTCAAAAAAAGTTATTTATCACTGTATATTAATTACAATGACAAAACGGTCAGAGATGGACCAGTCAAAAGTAGTTTCTAAAATGTGCATCCCTTACTGCATGTATATTTGTGTGTTTATATTGATCTGTTGTAGGTTAGATGAGAGTTTACAAGAAAATGACAATGTTAAGGAATCTTTGTACTGTTTGTGAAACAGCGCTGACAAATCGACCTGTTCTTCTAGTAGCATATATATCTGATATGTAGCCCAGTTAAGAGCACTGCTAATCCAGATTTGGTAATCTGGGGGGAAAAAAAGATTATCAGTGATCCAGTCCAATGTTGCTCTGAAAAACTGGTTCAGAAGTAAGATGGATTGCCTGATCCTGGATAGCAAAAATGTTACTTTTATTTCAGTTTTAGTATGACTTATTTTAGTATATCAATTTAAACTAAATGGAAATAATAAATGTTGCCTTTGGAACTAGCTGAAATAAAATAAGTTTATTTTATTTCAGTTTTGTTTCTTTTATTTCCAGTAACAAAACGTCAGAATGTCTACGGATCTACGACTGAGCTTGGTTATAAACTGATTGCCTTTGCTCTGCTGATTTATTGGTTAGTTGAACAGTTAAACATGGATCTGAGAGTAGTGTGCTATTATCGGTACGTGAAAACATCAAACTATTTAAATAAACAAACACATTCTACGCATGCAGATTCTTTGTGAGTCTGGTTGTGATTTGCTGCAGCTGCAGCTTTGGGCTTTGAGACCTGAGACTGGGTTTGATGGTCAGCGGTCTGAGGGTTATTTATCTGCGATTACTGAAAAATAACCGTTGAGGGACAGCGACACTGAACGTGTGTGTACTATTAGCACTTACCAGGCCTTGTGAGAGTTCATAGAGATACACTGGTGATAAATCAACCCGCCAAAGCGAAAAGGAAACTTGCAGTCTTTGCCATCTGTTGTGAGAACTTCAACACACACACACACACACACACACACACACACAGGTTTGTTTTTGTGAAAAGTGGGGACATCCCATAGGCGTAATGGTTTTTATACTGTACAGACCGTATATTCTATTGCCCTACACCAACCCTACCCCTAAACCTAAGCGCGAGCCGGTGATGCAATCCCGATCCTCAGGCTTTGATGTCTGCCTGGTTGCCAGTGACAACGGAATCCGCCCCCCGTGATGCTGCATGCGCAGCTTCAAGCTGGTGTAGGTTGACGCGCGTCACGTTCAGATCAGCGAAGCTCCCGCAGAGTGAGAGCAGCGGCTTCCTCGCCTCCATAAAAGCCTGCATATCGAGGGAAATATGACAATAAGAGCCATGGATACGCTGCGTTATAATAAGAAGTAACAATAATAATAAATTGTCAACATCAGAACGAGCAGAAATATATAGTTAAAACAACAATATAATATTTAGAGTAATAAGAGTAGAATTACTCACATAGCTTTCCACATCAGAACGACCTAAAATATACAGATATTGTTGTTGTTATCATCATCATTGTTATTAGGCTATTATTATTATTAAATTGGTATGCACAATAATAATAATAATAATAATAATAATGGACGGACCAGCCCAGCGCGAGCCGGTGATGCAATCCCGATCCTCAGGCTTTGATGTCTGCCTGGTTGCCAGTGACAACGGAATCCGCCCCCCGTGATGCTGCATGCGCAGCTTCAAGCTGGTGTAGGTTGACGCGCGTCACGTTCAGATCAGCGAAGCTCCCGCAGAGTGAGAGCAGCGGCTTCCTCGCCTCCATAAAAGCCTGCATATCGAGGGAAATATGACAATAAGAGCCATGGATACGCTGCGTTATAATAAGAAGTAACAATAATAATAAATTGTCAACATCAGAACGAGCAAGCAGAAATAGTTAAAACAACAATATAATATTTAGAGTAATAAGAGTAGAATTACTCACATAGCTTTCCACATCAGAACGACCTAAAATATACAGATATTGTTGTTGTTATCATCATCATTGTTATTAGGCTATTATTATTATTAAATTGGTATGCACAATAATAATAATAATAATAATAATAATAATTTGTATAATGCGTGAGCTAAATAAGAGTAGAATGATTATATATATATATATATATATAATAATTATTATTTTTTACTATGCAAATTCATGGTAACAGGACTGAAAGAAAATCATAATAAAACAGAACAAAGGGGTTAATTTCCTAAAAGGATGATTTTAACCGAAGTATTTGATTTATGGATTAGCACAAGGGGATTTTTATGACACAATTTCTTGTCTTTGTAATGACTAATTAATAATAATCAACAATAGTCTACACTATGTCTATATATTTTTGTTATTGAGGACCAGAGTGCTGAATGGTGAGTTTATAGTTGCAAACTGCTTTTTATAAAAGTCTAAAGAAACAATAATTATATTCTATATTCAAATTGGTAGCCTATTGTTCCATATATAAGGGAAAGTTACTTAGTATTTTATTGAGTTAATTTTGAATTCAGCTTATCAATACATATAAACTGCATAAATCAAGCCATAAACTGCAAAATTAATACAATATTAAGAAATGTTCAAACTATTTTAGATGAGATGTATCATGCTGCGAACACTGCTCTGATGTTGTTAATAACCCTGACGCTATCTAGTGTTGAGTAGCTGCTCTTGCACGCGAGTAATAATGATTTCACTTTCGTGTTCATTCATTCACTCACTGCTGAATCTAGACAGTTTTCAGTTGTAGTTTCACGGCTCGTTTCCTCAGAATGTACGGAACGTTTCACACAGAAATAACAAAGAACTAATCTGATATAATAGTCTCGAACTGCGGCTGTTTTCCTCCGTATCCCGATGCATGGGGAATTCCGTCGGATGCGCGGAAAGTCTCAGCCAGATTCCAGGGAACCCCTCTGAAGGTGTTTATAAGGCTGTGTGAATGCGCTGCGATCAGAAGCAGGTGAGCTGGAGGCGGTGCTCGTGTCTAGAAGCACACTTCTGCGCGGATCGGGATTCACGGACGCCGCTGCGGATCCAGACGAGGTGAGCTGAACTATCTACAGAGGATACTTGCGTTCAGAGTTTGTGCTATATGAGCTGAAAATATATCATATAAAAGATATATATTTTGAAATTGTACAAATGAACAAAAAATGCAAAAGAAACTTGCAAAAAATACTTATTTCAAACTGGATGATTTTAATATTTAACTTAAAATTAACCAAAAAAATAAAAAATAAATGAAAGGTTGAGGTTAATTTGAACTTTTGAATTTTGAATTTTTCTCTGATAGGGGCAAGTTTACTTTTTTTTATATAAAAAAAAAAACAAACAAAAAAAAACATTTATATATATATATATATTCATATGACCATCTACATAACCATCATCCTTTAGAGGTGACAGGGAAAAATTATGCACGTGTATTATAATGTGGTTATTCAATTTTGCGATCATTTTAATAGATGTTAAATTATAGGACGGGAATCCGCATAAGCTCGTGTTTGATATATGTTTGCGTGCGTGTGTCTGTTTAAGTATAGGCTACATTTTAAAACTGGTTATTATATTTATTTGACATTTGATTTGCGATTATGTTAATACATTTTAAATTAGGATATAAAACGTGTGTATATATATATATATATATATCAATTTTTGTGTGCTCTTTTGCAATAAGAGTTCCCTCACTCCTTGCACTAAAAAGCATCAAAATCACTGCAGATACAGACATTTTTTTGTTTAAATGACTGTTTTACATGTATATTTCAAACTGGATGATTTTAATATTTAACTTAAAATTAACCAAAAAAATAAAAAATAAATGAAAGGTTGAGGTTAATTTGAACTTTTGAATTTTGAATTTTTCTCTGATAGGGGCAAGTTGTCACGTTTATGTTGTGTTGTGTAATTTAGTCACTACAATTTATTTTAAACATATGTTGTGGAAGATGTTTTATATTGCATTCATAAAAAAACAGCTATTCCTCTCAAGTTCCCATGGAGACACTTTACCCCGTATAGTGTGACAACATGCCCCACTATGTGCTGTAGGCTATAGTGTGAACCGGGTCATATCTGTTTGACCTTTGAGCTACACGAATAGCGTGAACTTTTGCCCGCAGTGATAAGAACACAGACTGGTGAAACACATCAAAATAGAGCAGCATAACGTCTGTTTGCCGCTCGAGAGCTGATTCATGCAGTGAGCAAACGTGTGTCACGAGGGTCTGATTACAACCATGTGTGGATGACAAACCGCTCCGGTGTGACGACTCGCTCCAGCCCCGCGCCAGCAGCTTTATGATCCTCACATGAGCTTTCCTTACATGACACACAGCCAGACTGGGCAGATTGGGTTGTTTTCGGTGAGTCAAGCCTCGACCTGCAGTGGGACGGGAGAAGATCAGCACGTCTGGGTCACTGAAGGTGATTCACACGTGGAGCTCAAAGTACCGTGAAGTGTGTGTGATTCAGCCTTTCATTCTGCTGAGCTCACAAATAAAGCCCTTACACTCGGAGAATCAGGAGAAAGCGCTGCTGTTTAACCCACACTGGCCTCTAAATGAGCAAAACTCTGCTGTTAAACCTGTTGCACACAACACTTGTTATCCAGTAAAAGCTCTTTTAGTGTAATTGTACAAACGTCCAGCTTCAGCTCGCGCTTCACGTGTCTATCTGCTGAAATCCTGACTGATTTTTATCAAGTAAACTCAGAATAAGTTTAGTCATATTTCCAGATGAACACTTACTGGACTGAAGCAGCTCAGCTTTATTTGATTCTCCATCAATCACTTCTTAGAAAAATCAGTGAGTCTCAAATCTGATCAAGAGGCTTTTGAGGAACTTTGTTCATCCCTCAGTCATCATTGATCATGTTTGGATCATTTGGATCTCATCTTACCAAGACATATTGTTGGAGATATAGTGAAGAATGGTATTTATATAATTTTATGTAAGTATCTGCTATGCTCAGTTCGAGTCTCTGAATAAAACTGAGCTCTTTTTTCCTCCTTATTCTCACTAGATGAGCCATAAAAGCCTCATGTATCAAATATGATACTCAACAAAATCTTTAATTAGATTTTGTCTCTCTCTCTCAAGTAGATTTTTAGAAAGTGCCTTTATGGGGAAGTATGTAAGTACACACACACACACACACACACACACACACACATACTGCTCGAGGAATTAAGGCGTATAGACTGACACAGTGTGTTTTTTCTGCTGTAATGGAAAGTGGAGGGCCGTGCTGCTGCTGCTGGGCGTTTTTTTGGGTTTGGCGGTTTGCGCACAAATGGACGTCTTTCATGTGTGAAATGTGGGAGGATCCAGGTGGGATTCAGCAAATGGGTTCGGCACAGGAAGTGACTCAGCTCAGCGAGAAATTAGGCCAACAGTCTGAGGATTATTATTATTATAATCACTCATTTTCAGGATTCCAGTGGGATCTTTGAGGCATTGAAAAGCAGCCTCGTCTAACTGCATTAGTTCATTAACATGTGTCTGTTAATATTATTGGTAACTAGGGTTTCAAAGGGGGCGGAAAAGTTCTGGTAAATATCCGGAAAATTTTCCAGAATTTTTGGAAACTTTCCAGGATTTTTTGGAAAGTTTCCAAAAATGTTCCACCCCTTTGCTACACTACTGGTAACATTTTACTATAAGCTCCCATCAGTTAACATCAGTTAATGCATTAACTATAGCATTGATTAACAATTTAATTAATTTTGTTAACTGTTCATTGTTAGTTAAGGTCCAAATATTAACAGATACACTTTGATGTAATAATGTATTAGTAAGTGTAAAGATAAATAATGTTATCTCTGCCACCTTACCATATCATTTGATTCAACTTTTGAATTTAATAGCCTAGTGCATTAGCCAATCTTAAAAAAAAAAACATAAGTAAGATTAATAAATGCATTAGACATATTTTAGACGTGGCATACTAATGTT